CATGCTGCTGCCAGAAGGGCAATAAACACCCCAATCTGTGAGTGTCACAGTATCTCAACTTCTCAGTATAATTACTACTTGAAAGTTAATAGGCCCCTACTCCCCGCTTGATGGCATTTTAGCAGTCAAGCGTGCCTGGTGTCCACAGCCATCACTGGGCCTGGAAGTGCAAGCTGGGAGAATGAGTGGTGGAAGGCTGCTGCAGAGACAATGCAGATTTCCTATAGGAAGCAGCTGTACTACAGAAGATAGTGCTGTAATAGAGATGGAAGCACCTGGAGATTATGCCTGTCATACACCTTGTGCTTCATGATCACTGTGTTGTGTGGTGGGGAAATTTGGGATTAAACATGATCTGTACAGAACTAGTTCAACAATAATGCATTAAATTCTTCATATTTCTGGTGTTCAAACTCAATCACTGGACTGAGTGCACAGATAAATGTAAGTGCATTTCCCTCACAGCGGCAACCAAAGGTAGAGTCTAGTATCTCCAAATACGAGAATTTACCAGGTTTTATTCTGTTGTGACAGGGCAACAGGAAATGGTTTCAAACAAAAAAAAAACAGGAGAGACTTAGATTAGATATAAGGAAAATGTTTTTTATGATAAGTAGTGATGCACTGGCACAGGTTGTCCAGAGAGGCGGTGGAGTCCCCATCCCTGGCAACACTGAAGGTCAAGTTGAACAGGGCTCTGAGTGATCTGATCTAGCTGTAGATGTCCCTGTTGGACTACATGACCTTTAAGAATCCCTTTCCAAGTCAAGCTATTCTATGATTCTATGTATGAGTGGGCTAATGTGGCAGTAGGTGTGTCAAGCTCTTCATAAGCTCACCTCGTATCACACCTGATTGGATCGTGCCACTTAGGGTCCCAAAGTTGTAAAGGAAAGTCACAGTTGAGCTAACAGCATGCAGCAGAATATATCCCACCCGCTTTCAGCTACCCACACCTCCTGATGCCTCTGCGCACACAGTCATTGCCAAGTAAAAATCAACAGCTGCCTGGATTTTCATGAGTGAATGACCAACTTACCATGTGGTGGTCCCAGAACACCCCACTGATGGTCTTCACAGCAGGCATTGCCAGCATCCTCCTTGTGAGACAGGTCTTGATCTTTGCACCAGGCATTTCATCTGTGCCTAATCCTCTTTGATCCATTCCCAAGTAAGGTGGGCTCATAAGTTAGTATCAACACATTGGTATGTTTCATTCCCACGTTTTCCCTCACCCAAGATTTTGACAAGCATTTTATTTGCCAGACTTCCTCCTCCTTGTTGTAAAGAGAGAAATTAAAAAGATGACCGAAATACTGAGAAATCACATAGTAAAGAATCAAATTCATAATTTAAAAAAAAATTGTATTCCCTTTGTGGTTGGATCTTCTCCAGCTGCACTATCAGAAGTGAGTTATCAAAGCCAACTATCATTAGTTTTTATTTCAGAGTGACTTCAGAAGGCCACTGCAGTGTTGATCACAGCCTGACAACCATCTCCTCTCCACAGCAAAATAACCACTAACCTGACTGGGCCCCTCAGACCAAAGCAAAACCTCAAGGTATCCCCTTTATGAGCTTTTTTAGAGTAGGGAGAAAGAAAAAGCACAGTGGGAGCGTGTCTCATTTTCTCATTTTTAGTGTTTTTCTTCCTCCAGATGTATTCAGTTGAAATGATTTTTTTTCTTTTTTTTTCTTTTTTTTTCCTCTTTTTTTTTCTTTATAAATAATAAGGGCACAGGATAGGTACCACAACGCAGAGGCTGAGTTTACTGCCAGCAGGAAAAGAAGACTGATAGGAAAGGGGTGCAAAGCCATACATATCGAGTCATCCAAAACAGCAGAGAGCTCTGGGAACAGACATAAAGTCTGAGCTGCTCTTAACTCTTGTTACACAGCTGGTTGAATTCCAGCTATGGCCACAGTGAACACACTTCTCTGCACTGGGAGCTTCAGCTTTGCAGGGGGTTCTGAGGGGTTAATGCAAATCAGAGAGTACCCTGTCACGCCTCCAAGGGCAACGACATCTGGCTGGCTGGGTGTGAGAGCAAAGCACACAGAGTGAAATTAGAAGCTCTGGTTTGTCTTCTTGTCTCACTGTTATTTCAATTCTGTGCAGTTTCAATGATCTTTGCTGTTGGACATCGCCAAATGATTCCACAGGTGATGGTGGTGGAGTACCTTTGCTAGCCAGCTGTGGGACCCTTTCAGTTCATTTTTTGCAGACATGAAGCAATCAAAAAAGAGGAGAAAAGTGTAAAACAAAGCCAGTGGCTCAACGCATTTATTTATAAGGCAATTTCAAACAACGGGAAAATTTCTGTAAGTTACACACGTGCATTTCAAACAACACTAAATTCAAGTCAGGCCTTTGTTGTTCTGTTTGTTGCCACCACCCGTGTGTTTGTTTTCTTTTAGCACAGATAAAGCAATAAAATGTCCCTAACCAAACGAAGCAGGAGTGGCTCCAGCAGGCAGATGGAGCCAACAGACGTGCAACATATGGGGATGTGCAGCCGCCAGGTGAAGGATGCTCAGTCCTGCATCAGGCTGTGGCACAGCCCTTTCTTCTCAAGCAGACACAGCTTAAGCTGCAGCCTTGGGTTTCAGTACTTCAGTGCGCATAGGCAGAGGGAGGGACAGATGTAATTCTTGATGATCCGTTGGGCTCGCTGGTGAAATGATTGCTGCAGAACTCCTCAAATGAAGAGTAACAAAATCACGTGCGGCACTAATTTTCAGGGCAGTGCCTTGGCCACGATTTCAGCCCGGCATCCTGGCAGGCAACAGCGGCATGAGAACAAACGAGACAGCACTGTCTCCACACAGAGTGGATGAAGCACCAGCTTCATGTCAAAGCTCACAGCTCAGCAGATTGCTTCATCAATGGCAACCGGACTGCTGGCAGCAGTCAGTCCTTTCCCTGTATGGATATTGAAGGGAAAAGGCTATTGCCACACCTCCATCCTGGAGATGAAATGCAAAAGTAAATTAAAATTTCTGTGGTAAATGCTTAATGAGCAAGGCTGATAATCAAAGGTTGGGGTGTAGCATTTCTGCTGCGTTTAAACGACACGGAAGTTATCTGCAAGGCGCCATACAAATGCAAACAACAACTTCAAAGAGCAGTGGCAGCTTTTTGCTTTCTTCTCCCTGGCTAGCATCACTACACGCCTGTGTACGCTTTGTAGTACTTTTTTCCATCTTGACAATTTAATTTTTTGTTTGCTTTTTTAAAGTAGAAGAAAAAAGAAACACAAAACTTTTGCTTTAATGATATGCACCATGATGAACTTGAAAGAGGCTTACAGAAACAGAGGCTGCCGTTTCTGTATGCACCAGTCAGTTGCTAGTGATTGATCTTGGGAGCCAGGCTTCATTTTCTAAGCAAAATAAGCTTGGAAATGAGCTTTGCAGCTGGCAAAATCTGATTAAAGTGAGCAGAGTTTCATCTGATGTGGCTGTTGCCACTCACTTCACCATAACGTCTCACTTTAACTACAGAGGACCTGCCGAAGACAGAACAAAAAGTATGCATCAGCTTATAATGCACCCTTCTAGAAGTTTAAGTGTTACTAATAGGCCATCAAGCTGCTCAGAAGCCAGTATGCAATGATAAATCAACGTGTATAAGTCAGTAAGTCAACGTGTAGAATAAACTATATAGGACAAATTCCTATACAAAATGAACTCCTATACAGCTTGGCTCAGTGATCCTTGCCCCGTAATTTTTGACGGCTTGGGGCATCCAGGTGTACAGCGGCTTCTCCTGCAATGACAAAGCTTGAAGATCCTGGCATGGCCTAAAATTGCTGATGCTCATCGTTCTGCTCTCCAGAAAGGACTAGCACTGCTCTGTGCTGCTTCCCAAGAGTTCTTTTTCCTCTCATTTCTGAGGAAAGGGCAGCAGTGAGAGAGGGAAGATTGGGCAAAATTACATTTGAAGAGGTGCAAATATAAAAGCGACAAGCTCAGCGACAACAAGTTTCATTCCAACAGCTATTTGCAGAACAGCTTCTCTGCAGGATAACTAATGAAAAGGTCCCATGCACAGAAAACAGTCTATCATGTTAAAATAAAGAGTTCTGAAGCTTTGAAGTGTTGTGTATCTTCAGAAATAACCTGTACTCAGAAGGAGAGAGCGGAAACCCCACAGCTCCTAATTCTTGTCAAAGCTGGAGCCCAGGGCCACAGCAAGGAGCACGGCAGCCATCAGCACTTGTACAAATCTCCCCCAAAACCTTAATTTAAATTACTCTCGAACATTAAAGGCTGGCATTAGCCTACAAGTCTTTGCAACTGCATTAATTATTGTGGCAACACGCAGAGCTCTGTAATTGGCTCCTGTCCTATAGCACAGAGCAGGGCTTATGGGTTAAGATGGTGGCAGGATGATGATGACAATTCCTATTGCAAAACCCAACCGTACCCGACAGGCACAAGTCTCAGCGCTGTGCCTGCTGCTCTACGTAAGCATTATCCACCATGGTGGGCTTCATGGCACTTTAACATTGGCTTCCTTTCATTTTGTTTGTTCTGCTGAAATTCTGCCCCTTTCATCTGCCAGATGCCAGACAACTCTTGCAAGGGATCTAATCTATCATTGTTTAATTACTGTATTTACACAGGGATTTAGAAATAGCTTGGCAGAATGGGCTTGTTTCTCTCATCTGAGCATTCGCTCTAAAAGCACAGGTCTAAGCCCAAAGCTGCCAAGCTGCCATTAGAGCTGTGACATGTCCTTGTTCCGCAGCATGTCTCCTTCCAGCAGCCTGCAAGGAGCAAAGGCTGTGCTGCCTGCCACGTGCACCAGGGAGGGGAGAAGGACGGGAAAATCAGCACATCATTGACTATTAAATTGTCAATCAAGTTTAATGCATCATAAAGAAGAAAAACTACATTGGCATATTTAAGACAAACACTTTTTTTTCTATGCACACTATCCACTGGACAGTCCCTTTCTCAAAATAACTACTTTTAACAGCCCAAGACACTTCTTCAGAAATTCTTCACATACTCAACCATTCGCACTTTTCATTTTTTTAATTTGTCTGAGAAGGAAGGAAAAAAAAAAATCATTAAACCTGAAAACATTTACATTGCAAGCCACGTTAGAATGCATAATAGGCATACAATAACCAATGTATAACAATTGTGTTTTACTTAGTTCACTTTGTTCATCGATAAAAGAATATAAAAATCTTGTTCAACCGAGTGTTGTGTATTAAAATAGATTTGTATAGTACTGCACAGTTTCTCCCGGAGTTGTGAAAATGGTTGAAGGGACCATGTGCTGCCTAGTGATGGGCGATGGAAAAAGCCAGTCCCTCACGTGTGGGTTTTTTTTTTTTTTTTTTTTTTTTTTGTTCTGCTTTTCTAAAAATAAAGAAGATATTCGGCACCATGTGATATGCTGATGTGAGAGACTAGCCTTGTGCCGTGCTCTGGTGGCTTCCTGCTTTCCTCAAGTACCTGTTGCACCAATTGATGAAGAACTCATAAGCAACAGAGGCGATGGCAACTGGTGGGGGTGATGCTGAGACAACCGGGTGCCCGTTTCACTCCCCGTCCAGCACGAGGCTGGGGAAGACGGGTGGACCCGTGGGGTCAGGAAGACTACAGGTGAAACAGCAGGCGTGCGAGGCTTGCCAGGCCAATGCCACGCACTTCCCAGTGTGCTAAGAGCCAACAGAACCTTAAATAGGAGTCAAGTTTCCAAAAAAAGAGGAAAAAAACAACCAACAAACTCTTATAATTTGCCACAGCCCGTCCCTCCCCCAAAGCTCTTGATATTACTCAGTATGAGAAACAACCCCATGAGGCAGTTATTTTTTTTCTTCCTGTACCATTTTGGCAGATAGTTCCGCAAGCAAAAAGGAAAATCATAATAATTAAAAAAAACAAACAAACATATTTTTAGCAATAAAAACGCAGTACAAAAATGTGAAGTTATCTTTTTGGCATTTTATCTGTACTGGTAAGAAACAAAAAAAGCAGAATATTTATTTGCTTTTTTCTTGAAATTAAAAATAAAAATAAAAATCAAATACTAACAAAATACCCCAAAACAATCTGTTTAAAAAACGAAACCCAATCTGCCAAAGATATCCACTATTATGGTTTATGCTAAATCTTGCACAAAAACTCCATGAGAAAAATACACCAATAGCAAAATAAGTAAAAAGGACCTGCAAAAAAGTAAGGAGTTTTACAGTCATACTTTTTTAAATACTTCGGAACGCATATACAGAAGCATCAGCATGAAAATACTTCAATATTTTACTAGAAATGCTAACTTCATACAGTTTCTTTATTTAAATATCTGCAATTCTCAACTTTAATAATACTGAAAAAAAGGATCTTTTGTTTCGAAGGCTCTGTGAGTGTCCGTTCTGGTCAAAGCAGCCCCAGCTTCAGCTCGCCCGAGTCAATGGGGCCAACCTCGTTCCTCTGATAAAGAATCCATGTCAGGTCCTAAGTAGCTCAGTTTCCTTTGACGTCACCGTTTTCCCTCCCACAAACAGCTCTCAGCCCAACTACATACCCACTAGCTCACTAACTCTTTGCATTTTAATCTCCCCCCTTAGAGCAGAACTGCAAAACCGCCTGCTCCCCGCTAAAAGGATATTCCACTTCCTTTCTATCGGCCATGCTCTTCCTGCTCATCCTGCCATAAGTACATTAAGGCCAACATAACAACAACAAAAAAAATCTCATAAGCACTGAAGGTCTCGGCAAACAACGCTGCAGTGCGCTGCGCTCCCTGGGAAGCTGCCGCCACAGCGACTACAGGTGGGACCGACGGGCCTGCAAGTTGCAATGCTATAAACCCCGAGACCGCTCTTTCCTTCTGTGTGTCCCCTTTCTCTTCGTGCCCGGGTGCAAAGTCTGTCCCCCTTCCATGGCTGTCCTGTGGCGGCCCGGTCAGTTGTGGCCCTGCGAGTGCTGCAAGGTCTGGTGCATGGCGGCGGAGGCCGAGGAGGGCTTGATCCAGGGCATGGTGAGCAGGGACGAGGTGGTGGTGGTCGTCATGGTAACCTGAATCATCTGCTCGTTTTGTATCAGTCTAATGAGGGTTCGGAGACGTTCCAGCGATGACTGAGTCCCCTTCTGCTGGGCTAACAGGCTGCTTTTTAGCTCTAAGCATTTCTGTCAAACAAAGAGAGAGAAGGGAAGGCTGAGAATGCATTCAGATTGGTGTCAAACATCTCTCAAAACATCCCTTTGTGTCCTGAGTGCACGCCCTCCTCAAATGAAGTTATATTCTCCTGTGAGGATAGCAAAAGCAAAACGAACAGGGCGATCACACACACTGCAGCCAGAGCAGCAGCTGTCTGAGCTAACAGCCTTCACCCATGTCCACGTGCGTTCAGAGAACGTTTCTGACTGCGCTCTGTAACAAGCTTCCTGCATTCAGAGATGTCATTGGCACAGGATTCACAGAAACAGGGTCAAAAGGGTTAGAAGGGACAACTGGAGATCACCAAGTCCAACCCCTTGCTAAAGATGGTTCCCTGCAGCAGGTTACACAGGAAAGCGTCCAGGTGGATTTTGAATATCTTCAAAGAAGGAAACTCCACAACCTCTCTGGGCAGCCTGTTCTATTGCTCTGTCACCCTCAAAGTAAAGAAGCTTTCCTTCATGTTCATATGGAACTTCTTGTGTTCCAGTTTGTGCCCACTGTCATTGGGCACTACCAAAAAGAGCCTGGCCCCATGCACTTGGCCCCTGCCCAGATATTAGGGAGCCAGTACTGCGAAGATAAGTTGTTCTCTTCAAATATTATGTCAATATTTTGGCAGAAAACTTAATCTAAGACCCTAACGTTGTACCACAACAGTCACAAGAAATTCTTGTACCTGCAGGGTGATCAAACTGCACCCCACCATCACTTGAAACATTTCACGCAAATCTACATGAGAATGAGAGTAGGAGCTAAACAAAAGCATTTTGAATCTCCAAGAGGGAGTAAAGAAGAATCCGTAAGCCTGCCTTCTCTCTCCAGTTCTGTACTGTTGCAGCTGCTATCGCATCCGCTAAACATCATCTGACCTGCAAGGGACTAAGTGATTGATCAAACACTTGAGTCTGTCTGCTAGGTGGAAGGGGATGGCCTCTAACATCTGACACCTCCTGGTTTCCTTCTCCCATTGGTCTTGACCTGGCTGCCACTCATCTGCATACTCCTTTCCTTTGACTACCTGGAGTGTGGGAGCCTACAGCTCAAGGAAAGTGAGAAACGCTCACCTGAAAGTCAAGTAGTTCAAAAAGACACTGTGAGAGCTACTCAGTGATTGGGTTAGACAAATGAAATCTCATGTGAAAGATACACCACAGTCTGCTTTGAACAAATAAAACCATTTCACCTGGGATATGTTTACAACTTCTCTCTTTAATGTAAATCTCTATCAAGGAAAATGTCAGGAATTAATTACTCTGCACTGGAACGCCTCTAATTGTTTTTCTCCTTTCAAGTGGACTCCAGTATATCTCCAGTATATATATTATATCTCCAGTAAATATAATCATCAGCTAATTTTACTATTTAAAAAAGATTCTTTCCCACTGAAAGAACTCAGTTCTGCTTATGTAGAAATTTTTTGACTTTGACAGTACCGACATAAACCCAATAACTGAATCCAGCCCAAATGCCTTTCTTTGTATGATCACCTCATGCCACTGTACTCTCCTAACCACTGAAGATCTTTCTTACCCTGGTCACTTCTCCATACATCTGTTTGTTTCCATTAGCGCTGACGGTGGCTGTGCACACTTAGAGGGAATATCCCACACTGTGATGTCTTTTAATAAGTTATTGCTTTCCTTTCCATTCTGTTTTGAATGTGATAAATATTTTAGCATGCTTCCTCTGGGTAACTGCAGTGGTAAAACAAGGAGTGACCAGTCACTCCTGCAGCTGCCACTTTGATTCTTCCAGGGGAAAGAAGTTTCAAATATTTATTGAGCCTGCCACACAAACTAACAGCTATCCCTTAAGAGTGGGCATGAGGTGAGCTAGTACCAAATAAGCTCCTTCATCTACGGAAGTCAGGGACCAGGCCTGTCATTACTGCCAGACACTGGCCCTCATAGCACAGAACACACGGGAGACATCGCCAGCCTACATTAAGTTTGAAACGAAATCACAGAGGAAATGGTTGGGAATCCATTTTCACTCATGGAGAGGTTGTTACACCATTCAACCTCAAAGGCAAGGATTGCTACTTCTACCTGATCTCAGGAGTTTTGGAGCAGCTACCACTGGAGCACACACTGATCTTTTCATCTGAAGGATGGAAGTATCTTACTGTCATCAGACAGATCAGAGCTGTGTACAGCACCACAAGGAAGACAGGGAAACCTATTTTGTGTTTTTATGCCTACAGCAGGAATTCAGTCCCTGGTGATTTCTTCTCCTCAGGTTGCCCAGGGAACTTGCTTTTGCACATAAAGGAGGCCTACGTTTTTCCTCAGACAGAAGAACAAACACACTTGAACTTTTGTAGCTTGGGAGCATAAATAATCTTCTAGCCACGAAATACCAGTTTTTCAACCATAAAGTCTTTATAAACATCTCAGCAGGAGACTAAGTCCCCAGTCAGGAGTCCTACCTTCACTGCATTGTTAAGAAGTCGATCTTTTTCTTCTAACTGTCTGTGCTCACTCTTCAGCTCGCTGCTTCTCTTCAATAACTTTCGTTTCTCTTCTTCTTTGACTGGAACAATAACATTAAGGATGTACAAGTTAAGAAAAGGTAATACAACAAAACTATGTGCTTGACAATACCAAGCATGCATTTTGAAAAGCAAGTTTCTGATATCAGTAGCTTTTTGTCTGCAGATACAGCTGAATAAACCTAGAATTTCTGTTTGCATGGATGTGTCTGTATCAAAGGCCAGCACAAAGGATGATCCAAAAAGCTACAATGTGCTAGAACTAATGATTGGACCACATATGGCCCTGAAGTCTCCAAGAAAAAGGTGAAAGACATTTAGGAACAGCCACCCATAATCACTCAGGTTCAGTGATTCTGGGTGAAAAGCACAGACCATAACAGTGTCAGATTCTGCAAAGCTCCTCAAATACACTGTAATGCCCTAAACAGCCCATTGTAAGGGTGCAGCAGGAAATGAGTCAATGCACGTACATTATTTGATACAAATGACTTTGATACCAAATAATACCAATGTAATTAGAGACTGATATTACTACAGAATCTGAGATATTAATCTTGCAAAGTGTTGCAGACCCAGCTGTATGCCCCTCCCTAGCCTGATCGTGCCTTTCTGCCTCCCAGCTTGGTATATAATTGTGCCTCAAAAATCCCATTTTCTTTTACCAGGAAGTCACCACTCTCATGACAGCCTGAGTGAAATTTCACTGAGTGAAATTCCTCAGAGATTGATCTCAGATTCCTCAGAGTAGACAGAGAAGGAGCAGAGACAGAGAAGGCAAGAGAAAGCCACCTGCTGTTCTCAGCCACAGCTCCTTATGGTGCTTTGAAAAATAGTCACATCGCAACACTGCTTTAATATCAGTGCCATGAAGGATTCAAATGGTATCGACCATCACGAGCAAAGAATCCCTTCTCAAAAGCCATATCAATCCCTACCTGTTTTGTGAGTGACATAGGAGTGAACAATAGCTAGAGTTCCAGACCATGGCACATTGTCATCCTTCTTTAACACCTGTAAGCCCAGGAAACAACAAAAAGTTAGGACTTCACAAAGGCACACATTAATATTTTCATTCCTTCAGCCTCACAGGTCTGCAGGACCAGCTCTAGAGTTCCTGTCTCAGAATTCACAAGATGAAAAATAATGAAGCAGAAACTTGTCTAGCAATCTCCATTGGGCCTTACTTCTTTCCATATCTCTAAACTGATCAACCAGGACCAAAGAGGGTAACAAAGCCTCTGCTTCTTGTTGCCATAACCAGAAAACATCTCTCAGCCCCTGATCAGCAGATCTTCATGCTGTCGGGAGTATCGTGGGAGAGTTTGGGGGCTTACATGAAAATATGTCTGCGTAGATCTAACACAGGACAGCTCTGTTCTCTACAGCTTCATGCTAGAATTTCCTCTCAATATTTTCAATGGGTAACAAACAGTAATCCCAGGGCAAAACAGAAAGAAATCTAAGGCACAAAATCTAAGCCTTCACTCTTTAGTGACACTGTACTGTTTTAGTAATTATTTTACTCTTCTTACAATCAGCATTATTCACAGCCATTAGGTAATTTAGCACTCCTGATCATAGCTATGATCAATAAATATCATATAACAAACATGATTTAAAGAACATGATGTGATCTCCTTATAGCTTTCAGATCTACTGGTGAAGCCTATGCTTCTGGCAATGTCTCCCTCACCCATAATGTTTACATTTTTTGTTTTGCAACATACATGTTGCTGGCCTTCTGGTAACAAAGAGAAACAAAGAAAATGAAGAGACATTTCTAATCTTTTCCCAGGACAAATCTCAGCAGATGTAATTATGGTGAGTCTAGGCATTCACTGTGTGTTTTAAGTCTGGTACAATAAAAATACCAGAAATAAATGCTGCAAACTGTACTAAAACTCTCAGTATTACTCTATCAAACGTGGTCCCCAAAACTGTGATGTAGGTTAATTTAGCTTAGCGGTACAAATTTGATGTTTCTCCTATTTTCTCTTCTTCGTGCACTATGCCTCATGCAGCTTACCTTCTGTTGGCACTTTGGACAGACCCAGACCCCCTTGGGGGCAGTTTTGAGGGGTGGGTCCAAGCAGTTGAGGTGATACGCCCTGGGACACGTGCCGCAGGGCTGCAAGTTAACGCCACGCTTGCAAGCAGTGCAGTATTCATCATGGTGGATCTCATTCTGCAAGAGAAAAGCAAGGATGGCTTGGATCAAGTCAACCCACCAGGGCCTTTTCCCTGGGCAGCAATCACAGACACTACTACAGCAGCCAGTCTCATTCAAAGACATATCTATTTGTCAGAAACACCCTGGCCACTGTAGAAGACAAGAGAAATAACGGTGTACGAAAGCAAATACAAACAAATGAGCCAGCAGCAAGTTCCATACATTATAACAGAAAAAATAAGAATCAAATTATCAAACAGAGCAGAGAATGAACACATATAGCCAGATTGTAGTGCAGGAATTATTTCACTTGTTCTTGATAATGTGTATCTGACTCATATATCACCATGTGTAGTTCTATTTTGAAGCATGGGTCAAAGTGTGATTCACTTGTCCTTCAAGTCCAAAACAAAAGGAAGCAAGAAAGCAGAAGTTTCTTGGGGAAAAGCACAGTTCCATGTTTTATGCACATTGCATCGAAGAGCAGCTAGGAAAATTGTATGCTTGAGAACAGCCTTTTCCTACGTACCCTTCTTTTGTGAACTCCTCTAGAGGGCTCCCCCAGCCCTCTATTCTCCCTGTTGTCAATTGTTTTCTGTTCACAATCTGACAACCTTTCTTCAACAAGACTGATTAACACTTTGTCTGAAGCAATATATAACATGAACTAAGACTCATCAACAAAGTTACAATGTCATGTAGTAAATTGCTATGCTAATGTAGCAGCAACGTTAATTACTCTTTGTATAATTAAGTGCATTTTAATAAAGGAGAGGCTGATTTTGAAACTCTGGTGGTTTGTGAATCTTTATATTAAAAAATCTAATTTTTCCTAGTACTTTTCCAGAAGGAAGAATAATAATATTGCACCTTTGTTAATTCCAAAAGCGTACTTTTTTCATTTTTAGGGATATTCCTTATAATGTTTCATGATAATTTTAGTTAGACTTATATCCCGAATTCTAAATCAGTCCTGTCAAAAAAAACAGCTCTCCAAAGTACTAACATTTTAAAATTATTTTCTCAAAAAGTTTGAACTCAAGATTGAGAGATTTAATCTATACAACATATAATGGTCACTCATTTTTTCTTAAAATGGTCATTAAAAGCACAAATCTGGACCAGCAGTTTCTCAGGGGGGATTCTACAAAGGGATGAAACTCCAGCCTTGCTCATGCAAGCCCACAAAATCCTGCCTCTGAAATTCTAACTCAGAGGCTCAAAGATTTAGTCAAGTGAGGAATGTTTCACAAAAATAGTATGAAAGGCAAAGAGCATCCTGCAATCCTGTACCTTGATGAAGACTACAGTAATCAGAAGAAAGCACTGAGTTACACAGTGATGAAAAAAAACACCTGTAATACACAAAGTTTGCTACACCTACCTTCCAGAATGGATCCTCATTTGCTAGCATATGGAAAAAGGACAGAGAACAGATTAGTGGGAAATATGTTGCTGAAATGAATGCTAGTTCTCAGCTATAGGAAGGAAAGAATTTTAGTCAAGCTGAGATGCGGGAGATCAGGGCACTGTCACAATTCAGCACCAGTGAGTATTTTTCAAATTAAAATTTTCAAATTTACACCACAGCAGCCCTGTGCCCAAAGGTCTGATACTAACATGCCACTGCATGAGAAGCACAGAGCCTACTTGAAATTTTCAAGAAGTTCCCTGTGGAACTCTTCTCCACACGTCATCAATCTGGAAGCCTTCCTTAAGGACCTCAGCCTGCTGGGTGATGAACTGCTTGGCCATGCACCAGCAAGGCACTTATACAGTCGCTTATCTTGGGAAACAGAAGTGGTGCTACTGACTTACTGTTAAATATATAGGTGTTCAGCTGATTCACAGCCAAAATGCTCAGCCACTTGTGGGAGTGAGCTCTGTGTTTTCATCAGCTCTTTATCATCAATCTGCTTCCACCCAAATCCCTGTGATTTTTTTGACCTTTGGATGAACTGTATTCACAGGCTGATAGGAAAAAGAACCACCAGAGCTCACTGGAAAACAGGCCAAGTTTTCATTAAAAAATATTTGTGAAATTCATTATGCTCTAATTCAAAAATAAAGTTTGAGACATTTTTAATAGCTTTATGAGAAGTGCAGTGGTTTCGTGATTTTTGCTGCTGACTCATAAGAGAACTGATGCGGTGTTTCAGTGACAAGCAGCTGATGGCTTTCCTTCAGATTGACGTGGTGACAGCCAAACTAGAATTTTGTCCTTAATTTCTTCAGCTCCCTCTCTGATCACAGCTGGGAACACAGCTGCCCCAGTGTGCACTCACATGTACCAAGCAGCTTAGAAGCTGTACATGTACAGCTGAAGACATGCACGCAGTATGCTCACACATATGTAAAAACAAGAACATAAGAACAAAAGAAACAGCTTCATCTCAGTTAGCCTACAGAGACCAAAATCCTTTGCTAACAGCATCCCATGTTGCTGGTGCCCAAGCTTAGAGTGCAGGAACTGGGCATGCACAGCATAAATTGCTTTTCTCCAGAGGTATCCTTCCAGATACTAACAGCAGTTTAAGGCTTTCCTTAAACTGGAATTTGCATCTTCACCTTTATATTCAACAACCTTAGAAGGATTCTTCCATAAACGTGTCAGCTTTTTCCAACAATTGTCGCATCCTTTGGCAATGAGTTCCATAAAATCTGCAGATGTCACTGCACATATGCAAAAACACACACACAGATCCTTCCTTATATGACACTATGATTACTCAGGGGACATAAATGTTATTCAGACAAACAAGGGCTTGGTAATTGAAGAGTCTCTTCTACAAATGATGTATGTCAGGGGATGCGACCTCATTTCAGGTAAGACATTTTCAGATAAATGAATCTTGATTAATTGACATTTCGCTGGAAATTTACAAGAATTGTTCTCTTCTGCATTTCTGGAAATGACAGTTGTTTCCTGTACTTCATAGGGATTTTTTTCATTTGTTTATTTCTCTTTTCAGTTCAGTTTCGATGTAAAGTTTCTGACATTTTAAAATATGTCCAATTAAACTGAAGACAAATGTTCTAAAGGAGTGGTTTATTATAGGAGAAGGGGAAATCAGCAGTCCACTATGGGCAGACATCTACACCTCTGTTATTGCAAGCTGTCTGTGGACAGTGACTGACTTCAGATCAGAGCTTACACCTCATCTTGCACAACGGCACCCGGTGCTAACACTGTTGTTCTCTCCAGATGCATGTTTACAAGGGAAAAGCAAGTGCCAGGATAAGGCAAATAATAATGTTGATTTTTCAATAAGACTGAGCCAGGGATAACATTCTTTCAACTTGGACTCACATGAGCATGGGTCCTGCTAAGAGGCATGTCATCATGGTAGCTTACTGTATAATAACCTCTCTTGTCCTCTGAGACCCCAGGCACTAGAGGCATATGGTAAGTAGGCCAATTGTCTGCATCTAGAACATTACATTTTGGATATAGAGAAGCACCATAGCATTTTAGTTGGTGATCTCATGGAGCAGCAATTCAAGGCAGTGCCAAAAAGGTGGCTCTAAACATGACACTTGACAGGTATACCAAGAAAACCCTGAAAAGATGTCTTAATTGAAGTCTTGATTGAAATTACTACCATAAATGCTCCAAAATCTGAAATAATAATTGCATCAGAAAAAAAATGCTGTCCCTTACCGTTAATGCACCACAGTAAAACTTAAGTTATGAAGGCAAAACAAGGGCAAGGAAATACGAAGATGCTTCCACTGGCTTTCTCTCCTTTTTGACATGCAGCTCAAGCTTCTTTGTCTTTTAAAATCCTATTTGGGCCTCATCTAAAGAATTAAATTGTACTGTGTGTTCTCTTTGTTTCAACTCCCACCTCTCAATACTCTGCATATTGCACATTTCTCCAGGAATTTGCTTCTTCACATAAGCTAATTATCATCTCAAATGGTTCCTCTCAGTTGATCATTCTCAAAGATTTTACCATGAAACTTTCAGCATCTGAAGTTCTCCTACGTACACGATTGGCAGGCATCTTCAAGGTCATCAAATCTAGTTTAATTGCTCCAGCTCTTAGAGTGAGAAAAACTGTGTGTTTTGGCCACTGTTTTTAAGGCAAATGGTAAGGTAAATTTCTAGCCTTTGAAAGTAGATAGCAGTTTCTTAAAGCTGACAAAAAGAAGCAAATGAAAACTCCAGAATAGCAATTACATTTAGATCCAATTTTCAATACATGTTTTTAAGCATTTAGGGTTGGCAGTGCTATCTTCTTGAATCAGTCCTTTCACTGGATGGTGCTTACAGTGCTAGAGACCAGATTTACCATTGATTGCAGAGACTATGGATCCATTTCTACACAGTTGTGACCTTTAGCTTTATTCTTTATAATTATTATTTCATTTATTTATTTATTTTGCAGGAAAAGCATCTATATTCAATCCACACTAAAAAGTTCAGGGTTCTTACACAAAGTAATACCCTATAGTATCCCAGTAGCAATTCATATGAAATCCTACATGTATTTAAATATTTAATATGTAATTAATATTTAACAATAAATATTTAACATGTAATTAGAATAGTAGTATATTGACTTAAAAATATGCTTACCTCTTGTTGAAAGGAACAAGGGGTTATTCAAAAAATTTGATGCAAGACGTTTCCGCTGGATGGGAAGAAAAAACAGTATCATAGCATATTGAAAAGTGCTCTAGTTGCCTCTTGCTGTCACATACAGATTATTTCCATGCGCTCTCCCATACATAACGAAGTATCCAAAAGCCAGGTTAGTGTTTTAGATTATTCATTGCTAACCCCTAACATGGCCATATAAAAGGTTGCCTTATTTACCTCTCTAACCGTTTCCTTATAGAGCAGTTTCATGTACGTTACATTTTATTAACAAGAGAAATGCAAATTGCAAATGTTATTGATTGCGTTTCAGGTTATGTTGCAGAGGCTCAAGGCAACAGCAACAGTAACTCCAAACCTAACAAATAAACAATGTCTATAAAGGAAAAACTGCATAATAAATTCTTGCTGTGAGATGGCATCTTTATTTGCAGGTGGTGAAACGGTGATGGACTTCCCAGCTGCAGAAACACATCACTACCTTGTATGACACTTGCTCACAGTTAGCTGGAATATATTTTGTTTGCAAGCAATGCATTACTGTCCAAGTTAAATATTTCTTTTTCAGAAGTTAACATGTATGTCCTTTAGGAGTGGGTAGTTGTTTTCAATTACTGAGGTCACCAAAGAACTTCAAATTTGCAAACACAGCCCACTGGAAACATGACTGAGATGTTAACAGAGATGTAATGCAGTCCATCACCAACTTATCAGATTGTAAAAGCTGTTGGTGAATAGCTACTCGGGCTTCATTAACAGTCTACATAACACCTAATTGTTCCTCTCCACCATTCTTGTACAGCAGGACTGCAAACAGTACCATTAGATGTTGTTATAGTCTGCTTGAAGGAAAATTAGAAGGTTTTTGCTAATAAATGTTTTATTCTGTGGTGAGTAAACTGTTCTTTTATACACAGATGCCTGGCAGCCTCTTAATGAATTCTAAATTAATGTTTATTTCTTCAAAATATCCAGCCTGAAACGTTAACTCTTTCCAATGCAAAAAAAAGAAAAAGAAAAAAAAAGCACCCAACCAAACAAAACCAACACCACCAACAAAACAACAACACAACAAAGACACAAACCAAACCAATCAATCAACCAAGAAACAAACAAACAAACAAACCTAGGTGTTGACAGTGGGAAAGCAATGTCTCAAAAAACATTTTTAGGGGAAAAAAAAAAAGCCTCAAAAATGATATGCACAACATTCAACTGAAAATTGTGATCACACTTTTGTAATCAAGGAAGTCAACATCACCACTACAGAGGCTGAGCTCCTGCTGTTTTGAGGGGCGTTGGCAAATAGAAAGTCTAATTTATACGCAATTCCAATTTGAACAATCATGAATTAAAGATCATTCAGCAGACTAACCGTAAATTAAACTGCACCAAAATGCCTGAAATGCCACAAAATATCTCAACTCACTGATTAGCGAATCAATCTGAGCAGCTAATTGATCAGAGGAAAACCATCTGCCTCCATTTTACTTAAACAGCATTCCCCCTGGTCAGTATTTAATGATAGCTCCTAATGAGGATACTGCTGATCAGCTATAGGCCTCTTTCACAGACATTTTTTTTCCATGCTATCTCTCACTTCAGGATATGCTTTTGAGAATAGATACAATGAGAAGTACAATCTAAGGGTGTAGCAGGCCTCATCACCCCTTCTATCCCTCCTCCAAGACAACTGAATTTCTCTTGAACACTGATCAGAATACAACTACAAAACTGCTGCTTCTTAATAAACTTGTTGGGAGAAAAAGGTCTTATGAGAAGACACTACAAATGTAGTGCTAGCAAGCCTACAATTTCTGCTGTGTTATACACCGGATGTATGAACATCAGTATTTGCAATGAAGAGGTGGCTGGAGAAAAACTGAGGAGTTGTGAATAATTCAAATTCCCAGAGATGTTCTGGAGAATAAAAATCTCCAATGTTTTCAAAAAAGAACAGTCAGTTCACTAAGAAGCTTGACTACTACTGATAGGCTTCTTCTTAGTCTTATGTGTCTGCTGCCTGCCAACAAACACAGAAATCTGAAATTTTGGCATGCCAAAAATTTCACAATGCTGATACCCACATACAAAAAAATCACTTTATTTAGGCTTTAAGAACTTAGAACACAAAAGGATCTTAATTAAATAGAGAGCTGCTTGTGAATCAGTTTTATTTTTATAGGAAGCTCACATAGCAAACCTGAGCTGCTGCGAAACGTTAAAGGTGGAATTTTAATGAATAAATCTGTATTTCTCAGTTCAAAAACAAAATGCAAGTTTGAAAGCACTTCTGTTCTCCAGGTATGATCTAAAAGGACCGTCTGTATAGGTAAAGGAGTAATTAGATCCCACAAAAAAATTGGTCCTTTTGGCCTTTACTAAAATCAACTTGAGTTCAAGTCTGAAGCAAATGATGTTATGGGGAGAAAATCTGTTGCTTAGCTACTGAGGTGAAAATCCGTGTGTTTTTTTTCTTCACATCAATACCCCTTTACAAGTGAATGTGTGGTTCTGTATTCACATCTATGTTTGTAATAAGAAGCACTTTTAAACATTTTATTGACATGAAAACAGTGGCAAAAGAAAAAAAAAAAAAAAAAGAAGTGAATGATCAAGTACCTCTGTTTCCAAGAGTCCACTATAGGCTGGATTTGCTGTGCTTCTTCTCTTCCTTTCCTGACGTTTGCTCTGAATTTCTGTAGACATAGAAACAAGCATAAGTCGTGTATTTCTCATTCATCGGGGAAAAATTCAAATCTAACTTGTTAAGCAAAACGCTTTTATCCTCAGTCCCTTGGGTTTTATGTTCAGTTTCAGTTTCTAAAGTGTTAATTGGGTTGCAGCAGCACTGATACTTGCTGTAGTTCAAGGCCTGACGTTAATAAGTTTTGCCTTGTAAGATTCAGAACATGTCATTTTTTATTTTTCCCTCCTTCACAGTGGACTTGTGCTTCCCTACGAGATTTTTATGATGCTCCCTCAACACACACATTTAGCAATCATCAAGCTTTCAAAATGCTGTCAATGTCTGCTATTAACACAACAGAGTATATAAAGCAGTTAAACCTTGAAAGTTATATCAGATGAGAGAACAGAAATCCTTTTAAAGTTTTGTTGACATTACTTTTTCTCCATGGAGGCTAGAAAAAGTAGTCAGAATTGCATGGCTAGACTAAGCTCTAACTAGGGCACTATGACTTATTCATCCAAAATACACAACTTCACAATCCCGAGCAAAATGTTGCTGTGAGCCATACATGGCACTGCACCACTGGAAACAGCAGCACATAGTTGGTCTCACTGAGCTGCAGTCCTGTCTTGAAAAGGAGGAAATACATAACTCTCTCCCACTAAAAAGCAACACCTATTGAAGATGGCACTTACTCAGGACTGCACTTACTTAAAATCAGTCGTGTGTACGCTTCTGGAAACATGTACAGAAAGGAAGAGTGAATTCCTGACCCACTGAAATCTGCAAGCTTATTGCTGCTTTTATCTGAACTAGGATTTCATTTCTGTCACATGGAATTTCTTCTTCCAGCTCTTTACGTCAGCTCACAATAGCGAGATTATAAGAGTGTATTTTAAAGCCTACTTTTAGTAAAATTCACTAATAAAGAAAGAGCAGATATTAACAAGGAAAACCGCCAACATCCACTCCATGACATGAAAAGCCAACCGTGTGCTGGGCTGCATCAAAAGAAACGTGGTCAACAGGTCAAGGGAGATAATTCTGCCCTTCTCCTCTGTGCTGGTGAGACCTCACCAGCACCTACATCCAGATGTTGAGCCCTCAATACAGGAGGGAAGTGGACCAGAGTGCGTCCAGAAGAGGGCCACAAAAAGTATGCAAGGCATGGAACACTTCCCCGACACGGACAGGTTGAGAGAGCTGGGGCTGTTAAGCCTGGAGAAGGGAAGGCTCCAAGGAGACCTCAGATTGGACTTTCAGTATCTAAAGGGTTGCTGTAGGAAAGAAGAGGACAGATTCTTTAGCAGGGTCTGTTGCAAAAAGACAAGGGAAAATGGTTTCAAAATAAAAGAAGGGAGAGTTAGATTGGATACAAAGAAGAAGTACTTTACAATAAGGGTAGTAAGGCAAGGAACAGGTTTCCCAGAGAGGTGGTGGATGCCTCGTTCTTGCAGACGTGGAAGGTCGGGCTAGATGGGGCTCTGAGCAACCTGATGTAGTTGTAGATGCCCCTGCTCACTGCATAGGTGTTGGAGTAGATGACCTTTAAAGGTCCCTTCCAACTCAAAAGATTCCATGATTCTATGATTCTATGTGCGCAGCTAGCTTGATGCTCCATTTCAAAATGTTTACCAAATGATATCTTATAGCAAAGTTCATACTCTGCACCGAGAGATCCCGTTAGGCTGTATGTTCCTGTAGTCACTTCCATTGTGTTGCTTTGAGCACTTTTCCAAGAAGAGGAACTGGCAGGAACACTTACCCAGCAGCCCATCAAAGCACCAGGAGCACACCCTACAAAAACTCAAGACACCATCTGGTTCTGCAGAAGGTCTGGTCTTTCCTGTAAATATTTGAGGTAAAGAGTCCCATCTCAGAATTTCCACAAAATTCGGAATGTTGAATTCTAGCTCTCATTTGCAACCCAACAGTGTGATACAGTCCATCTTTCAGGATGCTTATGATGATTCTTGACATGCAGTTCTGGCTTGCAAGCACCTTCCCCATGAGTAAAAAAAGGGCCGTGTATGGTATGAGTATTACTGGTCACATCCTGAACATAGTGTGAATAGGAACGAGGCCAACAGTCTACATGGATTTTTTATGGCTCTGAGTTCCAGGATATTGATTTGAAACTTCTCATTCCCAAAGGGCTATTGGCTAAGCTGACACTTCTTGGGGTGATGGATGTAGCAGAAGAAAATCATATAGGAAAGAAAAATAGAGGAACAACCACTTGCATATTCTGGCTGGGTTTTCTCACTGGCGTGGGAGTATCATCTCTCACACTCGGGTGTCTTTTTCTAGGACAGTTCAAGACAGGTCTGATTCCTAGAATGTCATGGGATAGACATATGTTGCCACGTGCCTCCTGAAACTATGAAGCATTTCATTATAAGAAACATGTGATGCAAGACTGTACAGCAATGTGCAACAAACTCCCTGGTTGCAATCACTGCCAGCATGTTGTTAACATTCCCACCATTAAGACACCTGTGAAGAGGAGGCTTTTGTGTAGGTAATGGCTCTGTCCTACCATTAAAGTATTACCAGGCTACGAAGAAATCACCATCCTGAAGCTTCCAAACCCTACATCATGATGGGAATATGATGTCAGCAGCTGCATGAGTGCTACACGTGGATCCACTAATCTGCCACAGAGCTGCGGGAAGAAAGACGGTCTCAGTCTTAGAAAGAGAATGCACTCCAGGTCAAAAGTGCCAGGGATGTAATAGAAGAAGAACTTGTGTGTCTCGATGCTACTGGAGAGAAAGGAAGTAGGCAACCACTGACTTCGGGCTTTGGTTCCAGCAGTGTGAGCAAGCTGTAGTTTCTGCAGCCAGCTCCAAGCCAGTCAGTGAATCCAAGGGCTGCAGCACCTCAGTATCCGCATGGCAGTGTAGGTAAAAAGCTGGAACAAGGGCTGCCCATACTTACTGCTTCTCAAAGGTTGTAACAGGGACGCAAGATCACTGGTTTGGGAAAAGAAACAAAGGACCCGACATGGCAGAGATTTCCATGTGTCAGAGTGCACAGCTAGGCTGAGTGTCTTCATGAGAAGCCCATGATGGATCTGTAGCTCTCCGCCCTTTTGGGTCCCAGGATTAAGAGAGAATTTATTTGATACATGCTCTCACCAAGGCAACAGAAATATTTGCTGGAGCCTGACCGACACATGTGGTGGTAGAGACCTGGAACGCAGCTTTGGAAGAGGCATCAGTGTGGCGAAGAGATAAAAGCTGGCCGGGGGGGAAACGTAATCATAGTGGAAATAGAAAGAAATAGAGAGAGACTAATGAACTGAAATGGCACTGGATGTACTCTACCCTATACTGCCACCAGGGAGGAAGGGCACAATGTCAGCACTTCATTTACAGAACTCCTTGTGCATACACCCAGGAACATATCTGTAAGTAATCACACCCCGTTAGACCAGAGGCAAAGAGTAGGATACAATTTTTTGTTGCTTGCTGCTTGCTACTTCTGCTAAAAAGTACTGAGCATGTTTTCTCTGCTACCTCTTTCACAGCAGGGCTTAAAGAAGTAAAACTAAACAATTTTTTTAAATTTATTAAAACAATCCAATAATATAAATGGAAATATTTCAACTTTTTTTTTTTCTTTAGCAAGACCTGAAGTAAAGAATTATTTAGAATGTTTTCTCTTTTTTTTCTATCTAGATTTTAATTTTATTTATTTATTTTAACACAGTGCCAATGCTGAGAAGTATTCTTGGAACTTTCAGTGTCACAACCGTATGCTGCATCACAGATTTATTCTTTAGTTTGTTAATTTTCAAAAATATAAACCAAACAGAAAGAAAAAAACCTAAGTGGTAATGCATTTGTCAGAGATAAATAAAGTTGAAGACAGCTTTATGTTGGAGGCAAAGTTTCCACAAGCTACTGCCTTCATCATCAAAAGCACTGTATGGTTATTGAATAAGGCCTGTAATGACAATTCCTCTTCCTCTTCAATGCAATTTGAATCCTGTAAAACAGGAAGGGGCTCTGATGATCATTTACTGTTGAGGACTGGCAATCTGCAGAACAGAGTTCTTTTCCCAGCAAGAGGAAAGAACTTCCTCTGGAAGTCAGGTGGAAAGACTGGGCTGGTAGAGAAATCCTTATAAGAAAGGCGTCACAGCTCCTCATCACAAAATCAATGAATATAACAAAGAAAATCAGTAACGTGAGATGATGTTACTGAGTGAATAGGCTTTTAATGACTCAATCCTGACACAGCCTAATTCAAAAAATGTAAAACTGAGGAATACATTAGAAGTACTGAGAGAAACAGAACCGCGTAATGACCACAACTTCTTGGTAAATCACAGTGGCTGCTAACCATAAATATGACACAGCACTGAAACAACAACCTTTAGCCTGTGAAAGCTATGAAGGTATTTTTGGGAGCTGTAATCACCAACAATCATGACAAAATACCCTTTCCATAGTAAATAGCTCTTGGTGAGAGCCATTTATTTCAAGATAGTGGGAATATAAAAATTGAATATATCTGAAAGAATTGATTCTGGAGGATAAATATTCTAGTAGTTAGGTTCAAAATGTGCATCTCTGCACTTACTGTTCTGTACAACAAACAGAGCAGAGCAGTTCTTGTCATTTTGAACATAAGCATTAAATCCATGTGAACAATTTATTAGTTCCAATAAAATCAAAGAGCAAAGAATTATTCAAAACAAAGTTTCCTCTGTTGCAAGCATAATCTCCACTTCAGCATAATTTCAAATGCTGTCCTATTTTCCCTAGACAAAGAAAACAAGAACCAGTCATCATTTGCACTTTTTGGATTAAAAATCTTCTCTCAAAATTGCTGTGGCTTTTTAATTTCCATTTCAATCCATTATCATTAAGGCATTAAAAAGGCTGATGGCTTAAAGTTTCTCTAAAATGCTTTCAAATTCTCAGTCACTGGGACATCAAATGATTTTCTAAAATGCAGTTTTAAAGAGGAAAGAGACAGAAAAGAAGCAAAGAAAAAAAGAAAGCTCAGAAAACCTGCCGCATGTATGGAGTAGCCTTTATAATTAACACACTATTTTCTCCAGAATTCACAGCCACTCTTAAAACAAGAGAAGAGAAGAAAAAAGTACCTTATTGAAAAAAGCTGTAAGTAAGTTGGACTCTTGAGTCAGGAAGGTATCTAAGAATGTGGCTAACTTAAAAGCACATAAACAGTCATAAGCAGTGTCAATTATCATTAACATTTTTGTTATCAGGATTCACTCTTTCGCTAGACACCAGATTAGCACTCCATATATCAGTGGAATCTCACCAACTTGAACTGGCTGAGCACATAACCAAAATACACCAACCTATAGATTTTTCCTTAACAATAACTCCTCTCTCCATGAGAATGTGCCCATTCCACCAAGAAACCCCCATACCCATTTAACACAACTGGCAAATTTGCTGAACAGGTTTTTTTGCTCTCATCTATAACCTGATTCAGAAAGACAAAGGTAGAGCAAAGAATGGTACAAATCTGCTAACTTCTGCAAGGCTTTTTTGGAAGGATGGAAAAAAAAAAGCAAACAGTAGGTGACGGCTGCTTTTAGATTATATGCAATATCTGTCTGAACACATATTTAGAGGCATAGGAAGGTGTACTAGCAACTCTCACACAAGAGCAAGATCAGGCTCATGAAAATCTGCTTATTTTGGTTAAATAAGAAGGCGTGGGAAAAGGAAGACCTTAGGAGAGGTAGTTTTTAAATTCACCTAAAAACACGTAAAGCAAAAGCAGAATTTCATTACTGTCATAGACATTATTCTGTGGAACTCTAAAGATGACGGATAGTTAATTCAAGAAATGACAGCATGTCCTTCTCAACAAGGAAACAAGGGAGCACATGCTCACTACAGAAGACTGGGATAAACCCTCGATCTTTGAATGATCCTTGCTGACACTTCAGGCAGACCAGCATTGGCCAGAGCCTAGCTTCACTATCTTCCTTGGCAAGTAATTGCCTTTCAAAGACCACGTTGACAGAGTGAGCCCCAACACCAGGTTATGCCAGGCATGCTGCTGCTGGCTGCAGAGCCAGTTGTCACACCTGTGTGATGAGATGGGAGGCAGAGCAAAACACAGACACCCATTAGTTTGAGGCTGAAAAGCACTACTGTGCACAAGCAACATTCTACCTGATCTTTAATTGCCCTTCTGAGGACCAAACCATCCATTTCTTTCAGCTGTGGAGCAGCAGAGAGAAAAAATATCACTCAAAATCTGAAATGTGAAACAACACATGCCATCTTACCTTCCAAATGTTCTGTCGTAACCAGTCCTAATGCTACCATGAAGGCAATTTTCTATGGAAAAAATAAACGGGGGTTAGATTTGCTACTGTGACAATCCTGGTAGAATTAAGTCATCTAGCACTGATAGAATAAGACTAATAAAGGTCTTTTGGAAATGTCTATTACCTAAATGCATATGAAAAAGCAATTCAAGATTTGCTTTAGATATGCCTGGTCAATCATGCCCTACTTGTAGAACTGTAAGTAGTGTTCAGAGACATAAGGCCAGTGCTGTATGAGTGCTAATGCAAAATCCAGTCAATTCAATTTCATATTTCTAGTTGCATTGTTACTCCATACTTTTGAGAAGTGATTGTGTATTATTGTCACTGTCTGGACCTGACACTGTTTTCACTGGATATGAGCAAGCTGTACTAAGAAAATATGACACACACTTTCATTGAACTTTACAATACTGTACATCTGTTAATAATCAAGAAGACACTAGAAAAGCACAGTTTCCCAACAGAGACTCTCCTAATTAGTCTTTCCTAATTGCAGCCTTTCAGTACCTAAAGAGAGCCTACAAACAGGAGGGAATCAACTCTTTGAAAGGGTAGATAACAGCAGGACAAGGGGAAATGGTTTTAAGTTGAGGGAGGGAAGATTTAGGTTGGATGTCAGGGGGAAGTTCTTTACAGAGAGGGTGGTGAGGTGCTGGAACAGGCTGCCCAGAGAGGCTGTGGATGCCCCGTCCCTGGAGGTGTTCAAGGCCAGGTTGGATGGGGCCCTGGGCAGCCTGGTCTAGCATTAAATGGGGAGGTTGGTGGCCCTGCACGTGGCAGGGAGGTTGGAGATTCATGATCCTTGGGGTCCCTTCCAACCCTGGCCATTCTGTGATTCTGTGAACAGAACAGTTCAGAAATTGCTCTTCCCAAGTCACAGAAAAAATATAACATGAATGAAATACAAATACACACTCTGATACCTTCCCCCACTGGGGAGTGAACAAATACCTTGCACTAACAGTGGTGAACTCACTTGACAGCAGGGCATGTGATCTAAAATTCTTGTACATTGTATACAAACAAAGCACATTTGAATACCAACAAAATTTCAAAACATAGCTGAGCAGTAATAGGGCAAGTAGTAGAACAGACATTTTGTGTCACTGATTTCTCATTGGGAAATTCTTCCTGGCAGAAAAAGTTCTGCTGAATCAGAAATTCGTTTTTGTCCATTCTGTTTTCTTAAATGGAAAACTGAAATTCTGCTATGTAGTTCATAGCCCAAACTGAATTGAACTCTTGGTTTCTAGTCAGACCCAGGATAACACAAAGCCTCCTTTCTGTGCTGTTCTGAACAGCCTTGTTGGGCATGTTACACAGGTGGTATTTTCACCAGGTGCTATTCCACAGCAGAGATGATCTAACTTGAAAACCGAAGCTATTAGGAGCACAGGCAAGCAAAACTCACAATCCAACTATGGCAAAGAACTCAAAGATCTTTGGAGGATTTAATCATCATGCTCACCCAAAATAAAATGAATAGATTTAGGTTGAATTAACTGGAATGTTTAAATAGCACAAGGTCAAAACGTTCTGTTTCAACCAGAGAAATGTCAGAAAAACACATTTCAACAGTCCCAAGTCAAAATTAATTTGACCATCTTGTTGATGAAAAGTACAATGATTCAACTTTCAACCCAGGATAAAATCAACTAGTAAGTCACTTTCATGCATCAGTATAAGGAAGCACATTTTCATTTTGGAAATGAAGGATCTAGCTAAGGAGTGGGTTCTTCAAAAATTAGAGGGTGAAGATTGGATATCCATACTGTTCCATCTATGAAAATATCTACATTCAGGAGATGAACTAACAAAGCCATAAGAGGAATACTGTCATTCCATGATCCCCTAGTATGTAATTCCTCCTGTAGATTAAATAAATGACAATTTAAAACCTAATCACCAGCAATTTAGATGGGACGCATGCTATATTTCTGCCTTCCATAACTCTGGTAATGACAAGCACATGTACATATGCATGTCACACCCTGATTTCATTAATGCTCACTCCTTACATGTCTAAAACACCAGCTACACACAGTGGGGATCCCACATGTGAAGGGAAAGATGAATATTTGATCTGAGACCCACTGTGAAGATCTGAGAAGAAAATTTGTCAATTGAGTAGAATTACAAGCTTCTCTTCACCCCTACTGAAAGTAACTTTGTGGCAGGATACGTCAGCACTCTGAACAGAAGTGACAGCAACGTTTCAATACAGAATTAGTGTTGAAATGGTTAATGTGAAATTGTATTTTCCCAATGGAGCATAGATTGTCTATCTTACCCAAAGATCAGGCTGTAAAGGGAGCATGTATTTTCTGACATCTAAACTAACATTATTTGTGTACAGGAACGCTTGCTAAACAATTTTCTCTCTTTATACTAACAATATTCAAATATATATCTAATTAAAAGTAATGACAGCACACTTGCTTAACATACGAAGAGCTTTCATAAATGGACTTGATAATTATCTCACTATTAAAGAAAGAAAGCATTAGCTTTTATAGTTGTTTGAAAGATGGATTCTTTTTAAAGGATTCAGTAAAAGCTGCATTCATTTTAACAAGCATATTATATTAACAGCATCTTTAAAATGGGTTTTGCTATTTCATGCTCATGCAGCCCATTGGATTAAATTCAAAATACTGCTTCCACTGCAGAGCTTTGCTTTCAAGTACCACAGAGTAATGGCAATGCAATGCTGTTTTTTCTCTGTGCAGGAATCCACTAAACTGATCCTTTAGTTTTTTCAGCTTTTTAATCACTAGCATTTAGTCCAAAATAGCAATGAGTATCTCTTTGTCCTTGTTAGATAGAATTAAAATCACCGTTAGCTAAACAACCAGCATTTCTGGCATTAATTTTTCTTTTAAATAAAAAAATGCTAGAATTCTACCAGAAGTGTAACATTTTACTGACACACAAAATGAAATGCAAAATGTTTTGTGCAATTCTGACCATCTCTTTCTGTACTAAACTCAGTAAAACAGCAACAACCACACACTAATGACACAAAAATAACAGAAGAACTGCTCCCTAGCATAAATCCTTAATTTCTAGCTGGGGTCGGCTTCCCAGCAGAAAGTTCAAGGCAAGAACAAAAGACAGCCAGCATCCTCGATCTCTTGTTTGTTTAAGAACTAGGAATTGCAGATGGAACTCCTGGCTACTGGAAGGTCTGGTTATTTCTGGATTATTTATTTTGAATTTTAAATGCAATTTGTTCAATCCCAGTCTCTCACAACGGACATTTATATTGAGACATACTTGAGTTCCTGCCTCAGTTTTGTGCTTTGAAGACAAAGGTGTGGAGAGAAATGCCTAGATTGCCTGTTTTCCTTAAGAAAAGATCACAGTATCTTTGTTACTCTTTGTCTCAAATTTAATTATCCGTTAAACAGCCATGACTGCTTTTAGAAATACGCAGTATTATGTCTTTCCACAAAGCAAAACAAAGATTTTTTACAAAACCATTTCATTTGATAATTGCGTGTTCTATTTATGTCATTACATGTGTTTACACTAATTATGTTGTTAGCTCTAATTACACTAATTGCTCAAATACATTATAATCAACTAAAGTTTACTTTCAAAGAACAAAAGAAAGTAACTCTAGACCTGCATATTTATGACTCTAAAACGAATCTAAGAAAAGAAAAAAAAAGAAAAAAGTCATACTTAAGGGCATGGCTTCAGCATCCTACCAGAAAAACGTGCTTGCTGAGGCCTCCTGCATGTACTATAGGAACAGTGATCTTGGTTACAAAAAGGCAACCAAAGAGACCATTGACACCAGGACATACTTGTTAGCAATTTAACAGAAAGCTCTTACATTTAAAAATGCTATATACCAACATGTGTCAGGTGGTCTCTTCCTGCATCCCTCTGGAAGATATTTGCTCAATATACTTTTGCAGGGGATAAGTTATGGGCAAAGAAAAGATGAAGTTTTTCCTAGAATTCTTTTTCAAGCAGAATCTACCCACCAGGTAGATTGAATTTTTCTGCCCACCAGGTGCTGCACAATAATAATAATTTGGAAACACTTCTCTAAAGAAAATAGATTCATGTGGTCCCATCATTCAGTGACAATGAAGATTCATACAAAAAGTCAGATTTTAAGCTGGGGAGATTTCGTAAGTGTTGTTCAGCAGGGCTTCTGCATAAAGCTGTGACATTCCAGGCCAGAAGTCACAATATTTATTCCTTAACAGTCTTTTTAAGTATGCAAGCCTCTCAAAATGGCGAAACGAACTACCACTCACACTGCTCACATAACATTAAAAACTTACATTGCAATATTCCTCTTATACCTACAGCTCCAAGGATGCCTTCTTGCTACAAGCATATTAGACTAACAAGGTTAGGATGTCATGTGATCTGAGCATTTCAACATCAGAAGTAAATTCAGCTTGTATAATTTCTCAAATTGCCTCAGAAGTACACACAATCTAATTTGAATATATCTAGTAAAACCAAAATGCCTGTTAAACATAGTCTCCATTTCTACATCTTCTGATTTGTATTTTTCATTTACATAGTAAATACAGTTCATGAAAGAGTTTTAACCCTATAGCCTGCTTTTTATTCAGAGAGAGAACATGCACGTCGGATGGCACGCACGCAGCAAATGCAAGGAAATATGTTGCTACGTGCAATCTAGAGATTGTAAAATTCATTACAAAGAGAACAAACACATAAAAGATCAGCTTACAGAAAGAAATATTAATTTGATCTCATATACAGCCTGTAAAGCTGGCGTTAGTTATTTGCTAGCATAAAATAAAATATTATCAGCTTGTATATGTCTTTTAGAAGAAATACAACTATATTCATACAGGGTGCCTGGATCATTGTAAGACCTACAATTCTTACATTCTGTGACAATGGAAGATTTGAATGATGCAAACCAAAATTGTCAGAGCAGCTCTCTTGGGCAGGAATCACTCCATTTGCAATGAATCACAAGCACAAATACAGTAATTATATATGCATGCAGAAAAGTGTTTAGAAATGGTCTCTAGAATTCAACCATACTGTAACACATTTATTACAATAATAATAATAAAATAAATCACCTCTGGATTTTCCTCCTTTTTCTTTTTGGTAGCAGGGGGTCCCTGAGCTGACTCTTCAGGAGGTTTCTTTGTCTCCACTTTACTTTCTGTCTGGGTTTGGACTTGAGGCTGAATAATGATAACCTAAAAGACAACATGCAAATAAAAGAACAGAATACACTACACGAAACTGGAATTTTCTGCCTAAAACTTGATTCTTCACGGAATGCTTAGTTGATACCTATGTATATAATACATGCAAATCACAAGTCAATAGTATCAAGAACTAGATACCTAGCTTAGGTCTCTAAATCTCTACTAAACTTTGCACAAATTAATCTTTATAGATGCATCATAAACTAGCAGCAGCCTAAGGGAGCCATTTGACATGAACATCTCTGCAAATCAGGACACTGTATTCAGAGGGCTACTGAAGATGCTTTAGTGGCCTAAATTTACTATCCAGGTTGTCAGTGATTCTAAATTGTTTCCTTTAATTCACTTCACATACACATAGAAGAGATGGAACTACTACACATTCAAAGTAATAGCCTGACCTCAGTCATCTCAGTGTTACTTCAGAGTAAGTACACATGGAGTGGAGGGAAGGTGCTCCTCAGTAATTCTGTTGTAACTGAGATCAGAGTTGAGTCCTTAGTATTTATGGATTATGAGTGGTGGACATCCAGTTTTGCATAAACAAAGTAAAATATACTTTTAAATTAGAATTAATTGAGTTTTAGAACCTTTGCTATAGGAATTACTACACAGATCTCTTGTGCATGGAACTACTACTGTCTGATTTACTACATAAAGATTTACAGTTACAAATAACATTACCTCACAAGGCATTAAATTAAAAGGAAAGAAAGACAACTTTTGATGCCAGAACTACACATGTGACTTTACACCCATAATCAAAGCTTCATAGAGGAGTATAGAAGTTTCCCAAGGTCACTTTCTTGATGAAAGCTATTGGATTTCAACATGGAGTCTCTTCCATCAAATTGATAACCTTCAACCAATTTATTTAACTATCATATATGAGTACTTGATTTCCACTCCGTTACTCTAAAAGACTCAATAGCATGAAAAGGTATTTTTTTTAACCAGTAGCTAGTTTGAGAAAGAAAAACAAATAATTTTAGAGAAGTATGGAAGAGATGCTTAGTTTTATTTATTCACAAACCATACTACATCCTGTATTCTTTGTTAGTTCTCTATGAGAACCTGTGCTGCCAATAATATCCAGAGCAGCAGGATCCTAGCAGCAAATTACAATGAATGTCTGCTGGTTATATTGGCAGACTTTATTGAATCTATTTCTGGGACACGAGTGGTGAAGTTCTTGTATTTCAAAGCTGAAAAACTGTACAAACAGGAAACAATAAATTTATAACTTGATTTTTTCCTACTGATCTGTTGATCAGTTTTGAAAGTCTGATCTCTCATTTCATTCGGCTTGCCCCTGGAAAAGTAGAAGGGAATGCTTGATTATTTGATACACTCCCCTAGGACCAGTTGATATAAATGATATCACCATATAATTGAAGAAGGAGTCCATAGGACATTTGAACCTGCACAGAAATCAGAAATATTAATAAGAAATGGTTTAAAAAAAAGGGAAGATCATAATGTCAAGTTACATACTGATGCATTTTAATCCCACTAAAAACAAGCTATTTACACTGATAAATGTTTACTGGCATCCATGTGTCCTGCTAAGGATTTTCTCATTGCTTTCTGAATATTTCCTTTCTCAGAAACCACTGGCACTATTCCATACAGAGCTGTGCAGGACGAGGGGGACAGGCACTTACTGGAAAGAGTCCAATTACAGGCTATCAATAAACTCAAGCAGTTCCGTGAGGAAAGGCTGAAACAGCGGGCCTTGTCAGCCTGGAGAAGAGGACGCTTCAGGGGATCTATTCAACATGCACAAATCCATGAAGAGAAGGCAGACAGAAGAAGGAAGTGGGCTCTTCTCAATGGTGCCCAGTGCCAGAATCAGAGCCAATGGGCACAAATTGGAGCAGAGGAGGTTCCCTCTGAATACCAGGAAGCAATTCTCTGCTGTGCAGGTGTCAGAGCATTGGCACAGGTTGCCCAGAGGTTGTGAAGTCTCCTCAGAAATCTCCAGAAGCCACGTGGATGTGGTCCTGAGCACACTGCTCACGGTGTCCCAGCTTGAGCTGGGACGCAGCAGAAATCCCTTCCCACCTCAGTGATTCTGTGAACATCCTGCTCACATCTGCATCATAATTCCCTTGTTTGGCAACTGGAAGGCAGCAAGAAACTGAACCTACCTTGCTATCGGCGCTGATGAGGAGTGGCTGCACTTTGATGCTGTCATTGACCACAGAGACAGTAGCGCTGGTGCTGATAGGGGCTGCATTGCTGGGGGAGGTGGAGATGATGGCGTAGGCCACACCGGCGCTGCTCAGAGGCGATGAGAGAGGGGTAGGATCGGTGACGCTCTGTGCCTGGCTGTTAGGCGTCTCTACATGGCTGACGGTGTTGTTGGCAGTGGGGAGGGCAGGGCTGGGATTTTTGATGCTGACGACGGTCGCCTTTTGGAAGGTTGGAGGCTGCTTGGATGGTTGGTCTCTGCATGGGGAAATAGGGAGGCTGTCTGGAATCAGGGTCTTTGGCCTAACCTGAAAAAAAAATTAGATGTTATTGGGCATAATCCAACATATGGGATAAACTCTGCCCATAGACTAAAACTGTGTTAGCCATGCAACAAGAGCGTCTACAAAAACGTAACATTGCAACTCCAGGTTGACAGCTATTCATTTGCCTGTAGATGTATTCCCTCCACTCCTCAACTGAGCCACTGTGTAGTCCCTAACTTGTTGCAGTGCTGAACAAGAAGGGAGAAAAAAGTCATTCCCACCCTTTTATTAGCACCCATCCATATAAGTTACTTGAGCCACATTTGGTTCTCAGTAAGGATGTTCCATCCAAAGCAGAAAGGGAGAAAAAAAAATGCCCACAACTGCTGAACTTAATGTTTTGTTGCTGTAAGTAAAGAGTTGATTCACTGTTGTGGGTGAGCACAGAAGGCACTTCCACGGATGGAGGGGATGCCATTTGCCAGTGTTTGTGCAGGCTGCACCTTTACATGGAACAATGAATGATAGCTGAAAACAATAGTTTCCAGCTAATGTGATGTGTTTCCAGTGGAGTAATTAATGTCAGCCTGTCAACAGGGCTCTGACTGAACAACGTGGTAACTACAGTTCTAGAATTGAAAATAAATAATTTAAACTGCTTCACATGAAGTTAACTTCACTCCTGGCTTATTCGTTAACATGGCCACACAAAGCAGCTGGCTCCTTGTGTGCTTATTTCATCCTGTCACTTCTCGCACCCTCCATACTGTGAAACAAAATGACAAGCTGCAGCAGACAGGCACTGGAAACAGCTGCCTGTGCCCTTCCAGTTCTACTGCATCCATCCTCCAGCCTTAGTACACCACTGAATGAAAAGACAGGGATGTACTGATTTAGGGAAAATCACCCATCAGGGCTGGCCATCAGCCTCTGACAAGGAGGAGCCATACCCATATCTCATACTTGCGACATACGTATTTCAGCTCTTTGTGTTTCAGTAGCTTAGCCCTCAGTTACCACTTGGTCCTAAATTCAATGAACAGTACAAATATGCATCAGAATTACAGTCCATCTTAGGGGTGTATGAACTACAAGCAATTAAGGCAAATGGAAAGTGAAAAAATAAGTCGAGCCAGGCTGGAGGCCATGCCCAAGGTGTGGCAACAGATAAGCAACAAAGCTGGAAGCCAGGATGTTCACTCACAGCTTTGGATTGACACTGAAAGGACTTTCAGATGCAAAATGTCTCAAAACTACACTAAACTAGGACAAACCACACTCAAGACATTCTGACAAGAACCCAATTTATTTATTTATTTATTTATTTATTGCTATTTTTCCTCTATTCAGTGAGTTCAGATTCACACATTTAACATAGGGATTACTCAACTTACTTAGTTAAGATACCAGACAAATATCTTGTCCAAGATATTTTAGACAGGAGTTCATATTTAACTTCATAATGACAACTTGGTAATGATCTAATTTTCAAAAGCAATGCCCAGAGGTTTGGTTTAAAACCACCCTCACTCAGGCATTTCACAAAACTAATGCTTCTTACATGAAAAACCGCCCAGTGCAATCGCAGCATGAAGCAGAGACAGACACTTAATGCACCTTGTTCATGTCTGGATCAGTCAATTACACAAGCAGATATTGTAATATCTATTTTTACACTTTCATAATAATACCATTTTCCCTCCTATACCTTATGTAAGTCTCTCATATGTAAGCCTTTAACAAGCTGTTCAAGCCCATGTGCTCAGAGACACGTTCACAGAAATAGTGCCATTATTCAGAAGAAGTCTGAGACGCTTGGCAAAATACAGTTAAAATGTATTCTCTCAGCCAAAAAAAAAATCGAAATTTAATTCTAAGCTGTCTGGCAAACTTCTAAATGTTTCTATTTCTTCTTCAATGTTTTTTAATTGTAAATTAATGCAACACCAGTTACCAGCAAAAATATTGCAAGCACACAAACAGATAAGCTCACATACACAGAGGGTGAGAGAGAGAAAATAAATAGTAGCTCTCAGATCAAAGACTCGATGTAACAGTCCCTGTGAAATAATCAAGTCTGATAACAAATCGTCTCAGTAGTTTTTTTAGCCAAAAATTGTCAGGCAGTCTATATAGATCTACTGTTATCTGTCACTGTCACTTACATGTTTACATTTAATCAAAAGTCTACTGAAAATTAAGTTCCTATATATACTCTAACTCTATAGCTATCTTTTCTACACCATTACCTATATATATATTGTTGAGTGTAATACTTCAACAGATTTTATACAGGCTTTTTATGCAATTATGCAAATTCTGCAAGTTGTGGATGTCTGCATATGACTTTCCTATATAATAAGATCTTCCTGCCCACTTATGCAGACTTCATATTTCAAAGTAACTTATTCCCTAAAAAGATCTGTGTATTGATGTATCCAATACAATTTCTCAGTGGTACAGCACAAGAATCCAAGCTACTCTATGAGACTATGAAGAAGATAAGCTAGGCATTTTCTGCCACCTTGTGATACAAAGAAGGTATAGCGCTCTTCCAAGGCTCCGCAAATTCTCTGACAAATTCATAGTTGTGAAAGCACACTTATTACAGAGCAATTAAGAGTTGATAACGGGAAAGTTTAAGGTGCTCCTAGCACAAATTAAAGCAAAAATAAGTTAAAGTTTAAACAGTATTTCTTTCCACAGCCCACAGACATGGATCCAAAAAAAGAAAACATGCGTAGAAACCCCTTCCTATCCACAGTGCTCTAACACCTATGAATTGTAGCACTGAGTGTTAAGTGTTCAGTAGTGCTAAGGGGAAGATCTCTAACAGAATTTCACATTACCTGCTACAGTAATAAGAATAAACTGTGTCAATTGGGAAGAAAAAAGATAAAGAGTAAGCTAACAGATTCCTTCCCTGCACTGTAAAGCAGTCGTCTAAGAGTCACCAAGGAACAGGAGAAAATATAGGAGCAGAGTATGGACTGTCTTTTACATACAAGATGATGAAAATCCTCTTCCACTGCAAGTAGCACAGGTTGCATGGTACCAGCCCCCACCAGAAGTCATGGCAAATAAAAGGGGCCTAAGTTTGGAAGAGGAGAAGGGAAGAGGAAGAGTAACAGACAGCATGTGTGTCACAAAGAGAAACTGCAACTGTTTCTCCTGTAGCTCAACACTTCCTCTCCTCAAATATCTTTCATTTAACTTCTGACAGCTGTCAAAACAGAATGTGATACTACCAGGGCTATAAATGTAGTAGAGGAAGAGCTGATGCTTGAATACAGTGATTTCACAATGTCACGTTGTTCTCAAGTTTGCTCAATAACCTCGATAACAACAACATTTTATTTTAGGCAGCATTATTCAGACAATCATGGTATTTCTCAAGTAACCTGCAAGAGAAGATATTTCCAGACCTGGGAATTCATTAGGTGGCTTTTCAGACCGGCAAATAACACGGAGCCAGATCCAGTGAGAGATGCAGAGTGCTCTTTTGTTCAGCAACCTCTAATTTCATGTATTTTAAAGAGTTTGAGATCAGAAGGGAATCAGCTCTTGTGACTAGCATGCCTTCTTGAGCATCCCATATCATTAAACTCCATCTAGATGCCCCTATGTGAAGCCAAAGGCTTCCATTACACTGAAACATCATTCCAGTTCTCAAGTGCAGAAATTGTTGCATACCACAGAGGTGCACGTATGGCTAAGTGGCTGCAGTGGCAGAGCCTGATATGCGTCACCACTGACAGAATCAACTGTGATTACGGGCAATCTATGTCCTATCAGGTAAACCACTCCTGTGCTGTAGTAAAGAAAAGGGTAAAAAAGAAAAACCCTTACAAAACAAGTCCTCAAGACCCAACCCAAGCAAGTATGGGGGAGATGAGAATGAAAACACAATTATTTCCATCTCTGTGGGCAATGATATGTAGTCCTAAAGGACGGGACTTAATGAGAATTGTTATCTCTGTGCAGATCTGCAGGTTCTCTGAGAATTCTGGCAAATACATTGTCTTCGTGGCCCAGTGAGAAAGGAAAGATATCAAGAGAACTTCAATTACAAAAACCAAAAGAGATCATCATGATCCTCCAAGTCACAAAATGGCCATACAATTTATCCCAGAAACTGAAGTTTGATTTTAACAGAAAATATGAAGGACTTCTTAATGATGAATTTATCGTCAGCCCCAAAAACTTCTAATATTTTATCATGCTTGCAAGTGGCATTTTATTGCAAGGTTGAATTTTGCCTAAGTTCAGCCTACAGTCCTGGATGTTGCTATAGCTTTGTCAGCAGCACTGAAAAGCCCTCCCCCTTCCCAGTACTAGATGTAAGCTGGATCGTGCTCAGCATCAATCAGCTCTTCATACTGGCAGGGGCGATATGTACGAGAGCAAATTTTTCAGCTCAACGCAATATCACATTGCCTTTGAGAGAAAGACCATTATTCACACTTTATTTTCACTTCACCCTTGTACTCGGAGCTTAAAAACAAAAACTCAAAATGTATTTGGCACAATTCATATGTCACAGAGGCAAAGTGCTGGGAGCAGCAGACAGAGCTTTCATTCTTGAAAAGCTTTAGAGGATCACACAGAAAACATTAGCTATGGCTGATAAAATGATTGCAATATGGGGTAATTATAACCTTCACCAGAACGAACAGATGCACAGTGACTTCAGTAAAGCTGTATCTATTTATGTCAGCTGAGGACTGACTTTCTCCATCTTTTTTTTAAATCAATAAAAATTGGGCAGAAAAACAGGTTCTTCATAACTTCACAGTAATGACATACCCTAACATCCAGCAGACCCAAATAAAAGCATTTCTACTTTTATTGATTTTTAGTATCTTTCTTGATTAGCTTCTGTTGTCGTCAGATTGGTCTGATCACAGTCAAAATCAACAGAGTATTTTCTTTCAAAAACACAAGTGACTGCGGATCCACATGGACTTTTCTTCCTTCCCATTGATGGAGCCTCACAAAAAAAAAAGTTTTATCTTCAGTGTGTACTATGAAAAAATGCTGAG